TATTCTTTTTTTTTTGTATGTCACTCATGTATCTTGTTTGATGCATTGAGGTTGATAGATTTTTCATTGTTCATTTTGATTCACTCATGTGATTTTAAGAAAAGAGTGTAATTTGTTTAATTAGAAGTATGTTCTTCTGCTTTTGGTCATCGTTGTTGTCACTGAGGTGATTGTGGGAAGTTAGAGGGGGTTCTCATATCTAGGAGGTTCCTAGGTAGAAATTGCATGGGCAGTGATTAGGTGATAAGTTATAAACTAGGGTTGGTTAAGCTTTGAACTAATACTATTATAGTGGATTTCCTTCCTTACTTGGATGCCCTCAGAGTAGGTGTTGTTGCACTGAATTGGGTTAACATTTGACTGTTATTTATCTTATGCAATTTACCTTTTGCATGATTTATTGTTTTGTAAATTGCTCTATCAATAAGATGATGTCTTAAAATTTGTATTGACATTATGTTTTAGTGTTATGACATCAGTCTTAACATCTATGTAGTGTGCCTGAATTTCAATAATCCAATCTTGCTTCAATGTGATCCCACGCTGCAGAATTGTTATTGATATTCCTTCAAATTTGAAAACAAAAGGTTGCTTGAAAATAATATTAAAGAGGCATTGGAAGTTAGGTGGGCTCCAGATAGAGAAGTTGAAATTATAAAGCAAATATGAGATTGCGTAAAGGAGCTAAGTAGGTGGAATCAAAGGAAACTTGGGAAACTTATAGACAGGGTGAAGGATTGGATGAAAGAGATGGAAAGATACTGTAGTTGTAACGAACTGGCTAGTGTGGGAAAATCCTTGGAGGCGTAACAGAGACATAATAGGACTCTTGTTCATGAGGAAGCATTTTGGAAACAACGAGCTAAAATGCACTGGTTAGAGACAATAACCTGAATATAAAATTCTATCACACGTCAGATACAAGTAGAAGAAAGTTCAAGAGGATTCGGGTGGAAATTATGGAGCAAACACGTTTATATAAGGTAGCTAAGGAATATTTTACTCAGTTATTTCACGTGAAAGAAGGTGCTTATGAACATGTATTATCTCAAATTCAGTAGAAGATATCCAATGATGATAATGAGAAGTTGCTCGTACCTTTAACCAAACAAGAGTTGCATGAGGCGCTGATCTATATTCACCAAGATAAATTGACAAGCCCAAATGGTTTTAATCTGGCTTTTTATCACCACTTTGGGACATGTGTGGTGATGATATTTTGGATGCGATCAACAACTGGTTGGAGAGAGGATTTTTTCCATCCACTCTCAATGAAACTAATATATGTATCATTCCTAAGTGGGAGAATCCTAAAACTATGAAATATTTGAGACATATATATTTGTGTAACGTGGTGTATAAGATGGTATCTAAGCTCCTTGCTAACAAGATTAAGGATTTTTTTTTGTATAAATGTGTATCTGAATAGAAGTCGACTTTTATGGATGGTATTCTAAACAATGCTTTGATAGCCTTTGAGGTAATATATGTGCTAAAGCGTAAGACAAGAGGTAATATAAGGGAGCTCGCACACATAATTGATATAAGTAAAGCATATGCCAAGTTGAGTGGAGATTTTTTATAGGGGTTTTAAGTTGAACGGGATTTTCATATAGGTGGGTACAATGGTCGACAATGTGTGTAACTTTTGTGCATTATTCAATGTTGGTTAATTTGGATCGAGTCAGACCAATTCATCTAGGAAGGGGATTAAGGAAAGAAGATCCTTTTTCTCTATATTTTTTTTATCCTGATAGCATAAGGGCTTTCATCTCTCATTAGAATAATAATATACAAAAGAGATATACATGGAGTTAAGATATATAGAGGGGCGCCTAAGGTGTCCCATACAATTTTTGCTGATGATTGTTTTCTTTTTTGTATGGCCAATTTATCTGAAGTGAGACATGTTATGGAGATTCTTAGCGTGTATGCATAAGCGTCAGGTCAAGAAATTAACATGACCAAGTCAGCGGTTTTCTTCAACCGCAATATTAGTAGACCATCTCAAGATGATCTCTCTCTCCTAATGGGTGTTCGTCATATGCTAGGCACGTGAACATATTTGAGACTTCCATTAATGATTGGAAGAAGTAAGAAGGAAACATTTGCATTCATCAAGGACCATATTTAGAAGAGAATTAACTCATGAAGAGGTCGGCCATTTCCCAAGGCATGAGAAGAAGTAATAACTAAATCAATTCTTCAAGAAATACCTGCTTATGTTATGAGTGTCTTTATCCTACCTGAAACCATGGTGGGAGATATAGAGAAAATGTTGAATCCATTCTGGTAGGGACGAGGTAATAAAAATAAGGGGATTATATGGCTTGCATGGGAAAGTTTAACTTGTCCTAAGAATGAAGAGGGTATGGGTTTTTGAGATTTTAAGGCATTTAACTTGGATATGGTAGAGGAGTAAGCGTACCATATAATAACAAAACTGGATACTTTGATAGCTAGAGTTTTTAAAGCAAAATATTTCCCTTAGTCCTCTTTTTTTAAGCTAATCTTGGAAATAGTTCGAGCTATGTCTGTAGAAGCTTGTGGAAAGCTATGGATGTTCTGTTATTGGGATGTAGATGGAGGATTGGGGATGGGAGTAAGATTAATATAATTTCTAATCTATGGTTAAGGAGTGAAGGAAAGAGTCCGGTGGGAGCACCACAAGTCCAAACATGTATAATTTGAAGGTTAACAATCTTTTGCTTGCTAATGTTAAATAATGGGATGCCCGGAAAATTGAGCGGTTGTTTTCTTACGATGTAGTTAAGGAAATTATGAAGGTTCCCCTTTTGGAAGAAGTTGGTTAGGATTTCTTGATTAGAACAAAGGAGAAAAATGGTGCCCATAATATTAAAACGTGATATAAATTATGTATGTAGGTTTGAAGAAATCAAAAGGGACGAAGTATAGAAGGTGATTGGTGTAGTTTGTGAAAGATAAGTGCTCCACCAAAAACTAAGCATTTGCTTTGATGGATCTGTCGTAGTTGTCTTCATACCCGAGGTCGACTTCGACAACACTATGTTCTACTACATGTCAATTATGAGAAGATGGTGTAGAAGATGAGTGGTATGTGTTCTTTGGGTGTACAATAAAGTTTCAATGTTGGAATGTGGTGGGCTTGAGTGATATTATCACACCTCGACTACAAAGGCTTAATGAAGTGAGGATTATAATTCAAGACATTTGGTGTAAAGAGGATATGCTGGTTGCAAGTAGAGTGGTTGTTATGTTATGTGTGATTTAGAATAATATGAACAATTGGGTCTGGAATAATTAGAAAAATGACGCGAGTCAGTTGGGCATGCAAGCATATCATATTTATAAGGATTGATTTATAGTTCAAAATTATCAACTTAACAATGACAATGACCAGTAAAGCCAACAGAAACATTTGTGGTAGTCACCTCGTCTTAGGTGGGTGAAATGTAATGTTGATGTTGGATTTAATAAACAACTGGAAACAACAAACAAAGGGTGATATTATAGAGATTGCAACAGAAGATTCATCATGGCGGAAACAACTTGGGATGTTGGACTCTATACAGTCATAGAAGCTGGGGCATTAACATTAAAAGAGACTGTGTAGAGAATCATTCAGATGCAAATGGATCATATTATTTTTTAGATTGATTCTCAAATGGTGGTGTAAACTATTCATACTAATTATGGTGGTAATTCTAAATTTAGTGTGATCATATCTAGTATTAAGAACTTGCTAGATTTACATTTTGAATTTGAGGTGAAGTTTTTTAAACGTCAAACGAATTCAATTGCTCATTTATTATAAATTAAAGCGATCAATTTTTAGACTAGAAGTAGATTTCTTCATTCGATTCCTCCTTGTATTTGTTTAGTGAAATGAATTGAGTTTAATCATGTAAAGAAAAACACTATAATGAAAAAATAAAACTAATTTTCTCCTATTTGAATGATAAACATTTAAAACAATACAATTAATTATCTTAATTCTCTTGACTTAACTAACAAGATCTATATTAACGGATGGAAGTAGTATTAATGAGATAATTAATTTTAATAATTACTAACTACTTATCTTCAACCACTTGATGTATTTATTCTACGAAAATGTTCCATTTAGTCTATAAGATTAGGTGAGAAAATTAACCATAAGCAAGAACAAAGAAACTACGAGTGGTCCAAACCATTGGTGGAGCCTAGTGCCTAAGTATGTATAACTTCCAAGACTTTGGTACGTGTCAAAATCTGTATTCTACCAAAATTTATTATCAACTTAATAACAAAAATCTAACGTCATGCATTCACAGGGTCCAAACTTCATTTATGAGCTTTAAACCATTAAAAGTTAAAGATACATTTTCAATTAATTTTATTTTATTTTAGAATAAATACAATACCTATAAATTTATGACCATTATATTACTACCCCTATGAATTATTATTATTATTAAAAATATATTAAAGTGAAATTACTAAATTAAGATACCAAAATTTGTCTACTACTATTCCATGCATTAAATGCTACCATTACTTACATGCCACCCCTTTTTTGAATTCTCTTCCCACTCCTCTCCACTACCCTATATTTAATAAATATCCATCGACAATAAATGAAACATTTAATTAATATTTAATTATTAATTTATTAATGATAATTAATAAAAACCACGAGTTATTTTAATAAATTAATAATTCAATAAATTCATTATTTTTAATGGGAGTATAATGAATTTTAAATTTCAAAATCACGAGTTGTTTTAATGAATATAAACTATTAAAATAACTCAATTTATTAGAATTTAATTAATTAAATTCAATAACATACTCTATCTTTTTATTTTTCCTATGTGCATTAATTTTTACTATAACGTACCATCTATCTTTATTGGCATATATAAATCTCTCACAGTCACACACACGAAGGACACAGACTTTTCTCTTTCTCATCTTCATCTCTCTTTTGTTTCTCTCTCTAGAAATTTTCTCTCTCTCTAAAAAACCAAAACAAAGCAATGGCTGCTGAAGTTAGTTCTCTTATTCGTGTTCTTGGTGGTGGTGGAGGTGGATACAAAGATGAACAACATCGCACGGTGGGAAATGAATCTCATGGTGAGAAATCAACGGCTCTGATTACAAGAGACTTACTTGGTGGGTCCGGAAATGAATCCCAAGAATTAGATCTTGATTTGCAGGTTCCTAGCGGCTGGGAAAAACGTCTTGACCTTCAGGTTTGTTGAGAAATTTTTCTTCAAAAATTTACTCTTTTTTCAATTTTTATCCATCATGTTTTTTCTCGTCACCGAAAAATTTAAATTTACGAGAGTTTAAATTCTGATGATAGCATCACATAACAATATCGGTTTTTGTCTAATGAGTTTTCAACATATTATATATATATATATATATATATATATATATATTGTAAAAATTGTTTTTGTTACATGAGGAAACAGATTTATGAGTTATACGGAATTTTTATTAAGAAGTTTTGTTAATTTAAAAAAAAAATTATTGTTTTAATTATAAGAACAAAAATAAATAAAAAATTGATTTTTGTTTTTTGGTGTGGTTATTATGTGTGTTAAAACTTTGCATTTTAATGTAACAGCATATGCCTGCAGTAACTCAAATTATCGTTCCTGTACTCTGTATTTATTTCTCATAAATTTGATCATAAAGTCGAATTTAAGTTCTGAAGATTATTTTTTATATATGTAAGTTAATGATGACTATAAATTAACCAAACAAATCATGATTTATTATCTAATTAATGTTAAATATTTTTTTTTCAGTCAGGGAAAGTTTATATTCAAAGGTGTAACACATTAGCATCTTCACCGATTTCTGAAATGAAACAAACAACACCAAAATTTCAAGACCTAAATATCCCGTCAACTCAATCAAATATTACGTTGAATCTTTTCGATGAAACGAGTTTGGACTTAAAACTCGTTTCATCGACTTTACCATCAAACAATTATCAAAGTGTGTGCACACTCGACAAAGTGAAATCGGCCCTAGAAAGAGCTGAGAAGGAACCATTGAGAAAAAGAACATCACTTTTGAAGTCATCGATTTCAGCAACATCGCCTTCATCGTATTCATATTCATCTTCTTCATCGTCAATTCGAGACACAACAAATAATCGAGAGGAAGAAGAAAGCGAAGAGAAAATGGTTTCGTCACCAATGGCTGCAGGGTGTCCGGGATGTTTATCATATGTTTTGATAATGAAGAATAATCCTAAGTGTCCCAGGTGTAATTCAGTTGTTCCAATTCCAATCATGAAGAAACCTAGGATTGATCTTAATATTTCGATTTGATTAATGGTTTTATTAAGGATAATTGGTGATTAATTATTACCTACATTTTTATTATAATTTTTCTTTTTACTTTTTTGTAAATTTAATGAATGATAAATTTAGGTGGTTTAAGGATAGGATCAATTTTAAGGGAGATTGGCCAGAGGTTTATGTATATTGAAAAGTTACTGCCGTTTTACTAGAGAATCTAATGGAAATTTTTTCAATTTCTATTTAGTAATTTGATGCTTTTCTTTGATTTTTATTGAATAATTGATATATTTTATCTATAACTCACTTAAATATATTAGTTTTTTAATAATTATTTTTAATTATATTAAATTTTTATTAAGTTAAAATAAATTTATAATTATAGTAAAAATTATGTTGTACAAGTTTGTTGTTTATCAGTATCATTTTTTGAATTAATTAGTATTTGTTTAGAATTTTGACTTATTAGTTTTTTTTTTTAATTATGTACTAAAAATATCTTTTCTAAATTGATTAGTTTTTTCTTATAAAATTACGATGATTAGTTTTTTTTTCCTCACATTTTGAGAACAGTAAATGTATTTTACTATTTTCCTTGTATTTTGTATTGAAATGTTTTAAAATAATTTTCCGTCATGTGAGTTTAATTTGTGTGTAAAAGTATATAATAAAAAGTTGAGATGTGAGTTTGAATCAGTGAAATCTCATTTATTTTCTTTTAAAATGAGATTTTATAGTCACTAAATTATTTAAAAAAATTATCATACCCTATTAGATTATTTTTATTTTTGATATTTTTTTTAAATATATTTTGCAATTATTTTCTAATCTAAAATAAAATAGCATAAATCTGAATTGTACGTTTTACCAAAAGTCAAATAGTGTAATTGTTTACCACTTTTCTAAAAATAAATAAGTTAAACACTTGTTAACATTCATTGTATTTAATGTTAATGTTTTCTTTCTATTTTTATACTTTTAAGTATTCTATGTATATTATAAATTTCATATTTTCAATCTCAGAAATAATTATATTTTGTTATAAGAATACAATTCAATTGGTTTTCTTTTACTGATTCAATTAGTAGTTATAACTTATAATTAGTAAAATGGGTCTTATTGGGGTCTTAAATTTGCTTACCAATTACTCCATAAAAAAAATAAAATTGTTTATCATTATGTGTAAAATAATCTTGAAAATATCATTCGTGTGGAGTATATTAAAAGAGCAGTAGACAAAGAGTATATATTTGTATAAGTTGAAATTAAAATTTTCATTAATTAATTGAGATTTATATATACATTTCAATTGTTTTTATCACTACTTATAATAGAATTTATGAATTTTGTTGAGACTCTTTGGTTTTGGGCCACAGTTCCAACTCCAAATATTAATGCATTCACTATTAATGAATCACAACATTTTTTCTTCATAGCATTAATGAATAACATTATGGGTCTAGAAAAGTGTCCACATTACACTTTGATTATCTTTTATTAAATGTTTAAAATTACTTAAATGCAGAAATTTAATTGTTATTTAAAGTCTTAGTTTGACTAAATTTTATTTTTAAATAAATTGATGGAGAAATGTTTAAATGTCGAGTATGAAAATTTTTTTTAGTAATAATTAAGTATTGAAAAAAAAAATATATAAAAAATTATATTTTAGATAAAATTACACAAATAATCATGTTTAGGAAAATTTCACAATAGAGGAGTCAAGTGAGATGACACATGCACTTACCTTTTTGTCTTAAGCGCCATCTCACTTGGCACATGCACTTTGTTTTAGTCAAGTGAGATGACACATGCACTATAAAAAGGAGAGGAGGCGCCATCTGAGATGACTACTACGTGCAATTGTGTTTTCTATAAATAAATCACTCATTTCTCCATCATTCTTCACACTTTCTCGCACTGTCTTCTTATTTTTTTTCTATGTTATTTGCGTGATGGCATCTCCCATAATTCTCACCAGAGATGAATACGTTATTTTCTGGGCCACCAAACCTCCGAAGAAAATGAAATTTTGGCACATTCGCTCCATGAAGCGTCTGAAGAGAGAGTTGATGCGATGGCTAGATGGAGATATCGAGGCTGGGGAACAAATTAGAATGATTTAGAGAAGAAGAACAACCACCTCACTTGCAACTGGAAGACCTAATTTTTGATTGGAGGAAGTCAAAAAAGACGAAGACGTAATGGTGATGATGCATGGCTCAGATGAAATTGTTTTGATGGTTGTAATTTCTTAGACGTTTTATCGTGTTTTTATTTGTTGTTTGTGTATGGTTTGTTGTAACAAATGTTGTTAATGAAAAACAGTAATGTTTAAAACTTACAAAAGTGCAGATGATTTGTATACAATTTTTATGTTGTTGAGCTTGTAGCCTGAGTGGGACAAATTTTTTAATTGTGTCCGACCTGACGACATAAACCACACTTTCTTTCTAGCTTGTCAAGGGAGCCCGTTTCAATTGTGATACACTTGCTTTTTGGATGATCCTTTTTATTCCTTCGTATTTGATCGTTGTGCCATGTTATTTCCCCGTCGTATGCAGGCCAATAATCAGGTTTCGCTATAATTGGGAAGCCATTGTTGTATAGGTCGAGCAAGGTTTCAGACTTGTAAATGGGAGATAGAAGTTATAATGCGTCTTGATGAGTATAAGTACATGCCGCAATGCATGAGAACAAGGCATACGAAAGGCTTGAAACTTGCCACAATCGCACCAACGAGATGGTAGTATAACCCTTCACTCTTGTCTTGGCAGCCCTTTGTTTTGGTCGATTGTCTCTTTGACAATGAAGTTATGGTTGTGTCGGTCGAACCTTATAACCAGATGGGTGTTGGTTTTAGAACTTTTTGCTTTAATATACTTCATGCAGCTTTCACTCCATAATTGTCCTGATTGTAAGACCGCATTCCACATTTCACCTCTTTTGGCAAACAATCCTAAAATATGTTGATTTGACCAAAGTGGTTACTGGGAGGTTTCGTATGCCTTTGAATACACCGTTCATGGATTCTATAAGATTTGTTGTCATGTGGCCTCATCGTTGTTCATTGTCGTATGACCTTGTCCATTTCTCCATCGAAATATGATAGATCCACCTACCTACATCCGGATTTGACAATCTGATCTCGTTGAGATAGTGTTTGAATGAAGGTTGTGTTAATGCATACCACGCGTTCATAACTGTTTTCATGAGAGCCTTGTCTTTGATCTCCCTTGTGAAATTTTGTACGATATGTCTAATGCAGTAGACATGCGTAGAAGGATGGTCATACCAACCGTTTGCAGAATTATTGTATGCACTCTCAATAGATGCATGTATGTCGGAAATTAAACAGAGATCAGGTTGAGGAGCCACGTGTGTTCGGAGATTCTTGAGAAAGAAACTCCAAGCACCACCAGCGCTTCCCAAAAGTACAGGGAATAATGTAAATTTTGTGTATTTAAGTTTTCTTAGGAACTTTAAAAAAACAAGAAAATATAGTTGGGGTTCTGCTGTTTTAGCCCATCTATATAGTTCTTTGTGTAAAAATGCAACAAAGAACAAATGTACTTTTTATGAACGCGCTTTCTTACTCCAAGCCTGAGGTTGATGGAGAATGGAGTTCCTAAACCCCGTCAACAACAACGCATTCATTTTCACATATGCAACAAAGTAAGTCAAGAACTTAAATCATTTATTATTCATCTTTTCGCCAAATATATGTTTAAAATAAACTATTTTACAATTCCTTTAGGTACTGCGTGACGGATATGGATTACGGAAAGAATCCAAGATTCAATGTTGCTCTATATCATAATCTATTGGATAACCTTGGCATGGATGATGTACATGGTACCTTTGGACTTTTCTACTTTTAAATTATTTATTTTTTACGTTTTCATTATGTTGATTTAATTTTATCCACAGTTTATCTAGAGACCATATTTGGGCTTGGACCATGAACCAAACTCTGAGGATGCAACAGTTTGGACTGCAAAGATTGCAATCATACGGTTCAATATTATGGAGATGCACCACAACGACCGTGTCAAGATGCAGTTCAGAATGCATCAAGAGATACCATGCGATCCAGCTTGTTTGTCACCCTGATATCTCAAAAGGGTCGTCGTCCAATGGGGTCTTACTAATTGGAAAGATTTTGCTCCAGAATGGTGTAAGATGTGGCATATGCGTCACCAACATGTCTTGCAATTCCCTGTTTTCCTTAACCAGAATAATATGCGACACACGGATCAATATTTTGATTGGTACAAATCGGTTAGTAACTCAGAAATACACGTGTCTCATTCGAGGTATTTGGTTGAGCCACAAACACAATGGGTACAAACCTCAAATTCCCAACAACAAATCCAACACACATCAACCTCCCACCAACCACCCCGACGATACAGATCCACAACCACCCAACCCCAATCACCACCTCAATACCAATACACCCATATGCCCCACACCCAACCACAATCACCACCTCAATACCAACACCCCCATATGCCTCACACCCAACCCCAATCTCAATCACAATACCAATACATCCACATTCCCCACACACAATTCCAGTCTTCTCCATATCCCAATGTGAACCCCTCATCATCTCACCTTAGCCCTGATCTGGGCTTTCCCGAAGAATATGACCCAACCGACCCAACTTATCATCAACCACCACATCACCATAGCACCCAACAGTCGCAATATCAAACACCCCAAGATTTATTTCCTTTTTACCCCCCTTACCTAGACGACCAGTGCTATAGACCATCCATGGAACCCCACCCCCACCAAGACAACCAAACTTTGAGGGCATGGGTAACCGACTGTACCAAAGCGGATCTTCCAGATATGGTGATTTGATCGATTTCATGGATCCTAAATGCATTGACTTTGTTGGGTCATCGACCCAACTGCAACAGGAAAATCGACGAAACCCACCACGAGATAGGCGAGGATGCGGATGCGGAACCACGGGTCGTTACCGAGTTCCGTGGGACCACTAATTAATATGTATGTTT